TAGCCCTCCCCTCCCCACCCACGGCCCTTCCTGGCTCCCCCCCCCACTAACCTGTATATAATCTCGGGTGTCTCAGAGCTCTTCACCTGATACAGCTATTTTGCTGTGACTGTGCCACCTGAAGACGGATGCTTGTGTTGCCTCCGAAGCGTCGTGATTTAATTTAGTTGTTTTCATGTATTTTATTTTACCATCGTGACTTTACCGAAAAACCAAAGAGTATGAATCCTTGCAGTCACGAAAGCTTCAAATCTAGAAAGTGGTGGGGGTTGTTGAAAGGTCAATGGAGGGGGAGGTCAAAGCAATAAAGGGACTCTTCTAATTACAAACGAGTTAGGTTCCAGAGGTTTGTTCGTAAGTTGATTTGTTCGTAAGTCCAACTTTACTCCTGTAGATTTCAAACTTTTAAAGCCAACGGATAATGGCTTTAAAAGTTGTATGATCTCCTGTATATGCCACTGGTTCTCCATGTTTTGCAGATGTAGACGCCACTACCACCATCTATTGCGCAGCGGTTGAACTTATACCTCTCGTTCCGAACAGGCAAATGGACATACGGACAGGTTTGTTCGTATCTCTGAAAGTTCGTAAAGCAAGTGTTTGTAAGTAGATGAGTCACTGTAGTAGGGGTGAACGTGGCCGGTAGGGGTGAGGAGGATCAGTAGGGGTTGTAGGAGTCAGTAGTGGTAGGGGTAGAGCGACTTCAGACCAGGACCAAAAATCCCTCTTGAGAGCAGCAATAATAATTGCTTTTACCCGGATGGAATTGTATTTTTTCAACACAGTTTGTATGTTTTGGGATTGCTAATTGAGGGGAAAGTTATGCATTTTTATAGAACGTTTACATTTTCAATAAATGTTTAGGCTTGTCCGGATTAATCTGTCGGGATTAATTCTCCAGATCTGTCTGTTTCCAATGAATTGCAAGGTTTGCATTTACATCTAGAATTATGCATTCAGGGACCTCAATAAATACAAGTTTGAAATGGCATTTTAAAGTAGGCTAACTTTTTATTTTGGATGGTTTATTATATCAGGCTAAACTTTCCAACTGTTAATAATTTCTGAAATTATGCCTTATTTCCTGCTCATCGGTGTTTTTGTGATTTACCGGACCAATGCCAAAAACTTGGTTGTAAAATTATGGTTGCTGACAATGCGAATTGCCAATAGAAAATAATGCACGACACCTAATTCTGTAAAATAAACTTTGTACTTCAAATTACGAGCAAAGCGTGAAGAAAAGAAATATTAAACACTAACTCAAACTTAAAATATGAAATGACTCTCATTAAAAACCCTAACATGAACATTTTAACATTAATCAGCAATACAATTACTGTGGTGGACTGATTTGTGTTAGTTGAGCTCACAAAAATGGAAGAACTCTGGTCAATAGATGGCGCACATTTTATGCACACCATAATTCTGATGAAGCATTGGCACTGGGTTAGTTCACTGTGCTATGAAATGTGGCGAATTGGGTTTGATTCCTGGTCCCGGCAAACATCGGTTGGCGAATGTTAACCCGAACTGGTCCTTGCTCACCTCCTTTACTAACCTGCACCGACCAATGTGGTGAAGTATGGTCAGTGATGTTCAACGAACGCTGAAAACCAAAAGGGCGTGGGGAGACATTCATCCAGCAGAGGATTGCCAAAATGTTAAACAAAAAATTGTATTGCAACATAAGTTTGAATAGAGAACCGAATGTTCAGAAAATGCTGACCTAGCTTGGGAGCTTTGTTTAAGCTGGGCATCCGCCGAGATTTTAACCCAGAATTCCGGCGTTTGTCAGTGCAGTACTGACCGTCATTTGGTCGCCTTCACAGCCACTCATCCACGTTTATTTGTCAACATTTTAAAAGGCTCAACCCAGTGAGTTTTGCGTCTGCCTGTAGCACAATTGAAGGGACACATGTGAATTAACTGACCATAAACTACAGTACAGTACTTGCAACTGACTCTCCCACTATAATTTGTGCAAATCGTGGAGGTTTCGCAACATGGCATACGACTGGCATTGAAATAACAGGTTAATTAAAAATAATGGTAATTGACGCAATGTTTTATACGTTCGCTGAAGATGCAACTTTGTAACGTAAAATTAGCAACTATTCTAGTCTTTTGAGTTCAGACTCAGACTTTATTTTAACTGGTAAGATCCATTGAGCTAAAGAGCTATTTTACAAAGTTGACCATCCCAAGACTCTTTTTATCGCCCGTCACCTGTTTAAACAATATAAGCTTGAAATTACCTCTGGTTCAATCCAGGGTACTTTTTTTATTTGTACAAGTAAAGGAATTCCTCCTCCCGTAAATAGAAATAGAAACCCAAAGAATCAGAAATAAAGGAACCTCATTCCCAATGAATCACTTCACTACCGTGTATCTTTTGTATCGATGAGCGAGAAAAAAGGAAGCATTTGTTGCATAAACAAGTAACTTCCTTGTGCTACTCAATACACACCAAGTGTGCGAATGTCTATGCTATTTCATCTTTTGCTACTTCGCCAATGAGAAAAATATATATATATAACTGAAAACCCCGTTCGTAAATATCCTATCCAATTACCTATTGTCCGCCTTTTTGCTTAATTAGAAAGCAGGAGAATTTACACTTTATTGTTCATTAAAGTAAGTGGGCTTGGGTAGGATAGGTCGCTATAATGGATTGTGACTGATGCTCAAGGATAATGAAGAAGCGGCAACCATGGGATAGAACGTGTCTGAGAGGACGTTACCGAGGAGATGGAGGGATGATATCAGCTTGTATTCAGGTGCAATACTCGGTAGATTGCTATATCGCAGACTCGTGAGAGATAGCGACGGCATTGGGAGGCGTTTATCCAGCAGTGGATTCATCATGACGACAATGACTTTCTCACGTCGGGTTACTGTTTAGCTTTCACTTATTTGTGAATGACAAAAATAAGACATGTGCACGGGCTCATTCAGGTGGAGAAACTTCCTCTATTTCTCAAGGCAAACTCTTAAGGGAGAGTGAATGGATGACTGTCTTTTTACATGAATGCTGTTGGGTGTATACAAAGCCATCTATTTATAGATACCCCACTGATTTCTAACGACCTTCTTGCTTCCTGCTCAACGGGTGATTGGATATAGGTACAGTATTGTGAAAGCGATGGCTCGTGTATTGAGATTGTTTGGGGACATACAGAGGCTTTGCTATTAAATGTTTATATAATTTCTCCATATTATTTATACATTTTGATCACCCTGTAGTGTTTATATAACCGGCTTGGTTGCTGGGCGGTAGTGACTTGAAATTCACAAGATTTCGAGTTCAAATCCTGGCTGTGGAATAACTCAGCCCATCAGCTCAATAACTCAGCCCGGGGTCGATAAACTAGATACCACTTTATCACCAATGGTTGTCCTATGGATGCAATCGGCCTCGTCATAGGAATGTAGATTTTCCAACACTGGCTCACGGCTGTCAACAGCATATACGTCACAATGATGCATCAACGCCCATGTGAACACGACATCACTTTTACGTGAGAACTTGTAGTATTATGCTCTGTATAACTGCGCTGCATGACTAGCGGTGGCATGCCCAAGCAGCTTCTGTTTGGCCGGATAGAGGGGGATAATCGGCCACGACACGAGCTGGGGTGATGCGATACGAGAGGATGTGGAGCTGAGTGGACTTGCCGAAGACTGGTACCAGCGGTGTCAATAAAGGCCGTAGCCATAGAGTCAACATTGGGAGAGACCAAATCTTCCAGAGTGTCTGGGGGTCCCAACCCAGAAAAAAAAAATCTACATTTGAAAACTAATTTCCTGCCTAAAATATAACAATTTCACTAACACATGGGATGGTATTTTTATATATTTTTTACAATAATGTCTAATAGTGTATTGTATTACATTTTTACCATTTGTTTCATTGTATGTAATGGCAGAGATTAGGTATTAATAAAGTACAACCATAACCACAATCATATAAACAGAAATCTATGCATTGATTTATATGAAGACAAAGTCCAGATATTGTGGCCAAGGTTTAGCAAATTGTTTTCTTTATTGACATAGCATAGCCATTTTTTTATAGCATATTTGAATATATATTGGGGGGGGGGATGTGTCCCCCCCCCCCCCAATATATATTATAACTACGGCCTTGGTGTCAATATCGGCCTCTGTGTAAGGAAGTTCGTGAAGGACGCTACTATGCAGTTGGAGGCAGTGGCCCCTCGAGCAACAACGGAGGGCAGAGGAGCGACGCTCACAACAAGACAAAATACAGCAAGTTGGCACAGTAGGGGGCACGGGCGGTGCACCTTGCCAGTCATCTCAATCAGTAAACCCATGGCACATGGCTCTCTGCTGGAACTTCGCCACTTCACGTGACCGGCCTAAAACAAATAAAAAGAGAGTCCACCTGGCCTGGCACAGGCTCTATGCTGACGTCCCCGGCCACTTAAGTGGCGGTTGTTGTTTGTTGTTGTCGCCGCCGCCGTTTTCACACCTTTGCGCGGACATCAATCGACAAATGAGAAGGAAACCTTGCCCCAGAGACGTGACGTTTGGGGGTGGAATGCCGAACGTCACGGGGCGGTCCGGAAGAGGGGCGGCAGTGGTTGAGGATGAATGGGATGGAGGGAGGAGGAGGAAGGGAGGGAGGAATGATGGGGAGGAGAGGAGGGACGTTTGCACGGCAATGCACGCAAGTGCGTTGAACTTCTTTCGCACCGTACGCAGTCGACCCGTGCTCGTCGGAAGGTGTGATGATGTTAATAATGATGTTGGGGATGATGATGAGATGATGGCGCGGATTAAAAGTGGGGATGCTTGAGGTGGTGGCGGAGAGGGATGATGATGTTGGGGGGGGATCACGGGAGGGAGGGGGGGATCACGGGAGGGAGGGGGGATCACGGGAGGGAGGGGAGGGGGTCACGGGAGGGGATCACGGGAGGGAGGTGGGGGATTACGGGAGGGAGGGAAGGCATCAGGGGAGGGAGGGAGGGGGAGGGGATGGGGGGGCCACCCTTTCCTCCCGGGGTGCGCCCCGGACCGAGACGTTCAGTGGGCCAGGGGCACGGCGAACGAAGCGGACGGATATCACAAACACGCACAACACAGTGAGCCACCACCACCACTACCACCGCAGCCGGCAACGACGACGACGACGACAACAACAACACAAGACACGGCAGTCAGATTATAACACCAATAGAGGCATAGACGGTTTGTGTGGTGGTCACAGCGACAGGTTCAATTCAAAGTTTATCTTCGGAAACATTACGACAGCACATTACGCGCGGCGTGGCTTTTAACGCTCGCTAAAGAACAGTGCTGACTGACTTGACTGTGTATTACTTCTCGCTACGTGGACGACGGAACGGGGTGTTGACCGAGCATAGCACGGGACCGAGCTGTTAGTATTCAAGAAAGAAGAATAAATATTCATCGTAAAGTGATTCCGGTCGACTTTTGTTGGGAGTACAGTACGGTGGTTTGTGTGGGTTATTGACCACTGTAGTAGCCTCAATGCACCGCGGTGCAATGTTAACGGACACGCGTGTTTGCCTTACCGCATTCTGGGAGCTTTAAGGTAAGCAACACACGCATACACTGCACATTTATACACCTTCCTTACAGTGTAGTAACGTAGGCCAATAATGTGCATGTAATTGTATCGTAGTCGGCCTCGGAATCGCGAAATGCTGGACTCTGCACGCCAGGTTTACTACAATAACTCTTGTGTCCATATACACCTTACAGTATACGTAACTTTTAAGAGAATAATAATCACGTAATAGTATCGTAGTCGAACTCGTCCACAAGCTATTGGCAGGGGTTAAGCCTGGATTAGTGCCTGGGGGTAGTGGTGGGACCACCACCACCAACCACCACCACCAACCACCACGCACAAACACCTGATGATGGTTGCTCGTGTTGCAGTCGAAACGTCGTGAGAATTGTATTGTTTTATATGTTTTATTATTTTATTGTTTCCCTTCTACGTGACTGTACCGAAAGAACCAAGAATATAGGTTTGCCAAAGGTTCACTCGCTCGCCCCCCGCGCGGCAACATCCGTCGTGTTGTACTGCACTTCTACGCGTCCACGTGCCATAGATCTCCGTCGTGCGCGGTTGAAGTTAATGGTGAACTTGAACGGCGTGTTATAATTGCCATTGCTACTGTGTTACTGTGTTGTTATGTGGATCGTGACCTTAGCCGCGCCACTGGTACGTACTATTGTGCACCGGTGATTTGTTAATACTATACGGAACAATATTAAAGTGCTCAAAGGCGTGCCTTTGGGAATAATTAGGTGTCGATATTGGTGGGAGGTTGCACTTTGTATGTAGCAGAGTGGTCTGTTTTTGACACTCTATTGGCGTTTTGTATTGGGGAATATTCCATAGATCGGCATGTGTGGAGGATTAGTGTCCAGTGACAGGACTAGCATATAACAACTTGGGTTGCCCATTCAAATGTTATACGCAAAAACACATTCTGTTATACCCGAGTTAGAGTTCCACATTGAATCTCAATGTGCAAAAACGGGTTTGTTTCATTAATCAAGAGGGTCCTATGCTAATGAGATCATACATTTTACTTGGTCATTACATAATATGTTAATACAGAGACAGAAGCTCAGAATATATAGAAGTCGACTTTACATAGCATCCATCCACACAGTACAGGACTTTGTACTATATAATTCACTGGATGTTCTCGAAAACACCTGTTACTGTTTACATAAAACACCTAAAGTATGTGTTTTTTATGACTGTCGAATGAAAAACTTAGGGAACATGCCACTTAAGCCGTTTTTCGTAACAATACATTTAAAAATATATATGGTTCCTTAGATGTTACCGGCTTAGTAATGTGCAAATGGCCCTACAGGCTTCTGTGAAGGTGGGTGTAAGCATTTAGAAATGTTAGGTTTAAAATGTCAGAATTTTTTTTATTGAATGAGTGTTGAGATTAATAAATACAGTCCTCTACTGTCCTGACATTTGAACCCTTCCTTTGGATCCAAACCTCATTTTTATTGCCAGCTCGAGATGGCACCTTCTTCTACTGTACACTATTAATGTGTTAACGTGGCCTGAATGAAATACTGAATACACCATCGTGTGGAATTGTGCAACATGGTATAAAGTCAACAAATACCGTGGGTGTTAGCATTGTCTTGAAAACTGAGGGCATAGTTTGTGCACTTTCATGGTTCAATTTATTAATTTGCCATGAGGTTTTCCGCTGATTGTGTGCATTTATCCACCCAAAAAGTGGTGAAATAGCGGTTTCCACCAACAAGCGATTCCAATGTTATGCATCTTGGTCTATGAAAATGGAATGTTTGCTCAATCATTAGTCATAACATGTTTGGGTGAAACAACTTTGGGTGTTCATCTTTGGACAAGTGTGAGTCAGAGGTGTGAGGTACATTGGCTGCCCTTTTGTGTGGGTCGTTTTAAAATCTTACTTCATGCTCGTCAGTGCGGCTTGGGGGTGGGGGACGTCGGAGCATAGTACAGTACAACAATGAATGGTTGCTGCTCTGCCTTCCGCTGATAGTAGCATCCTTGAATTGGGTGGAAATTTCAGCGATCCCACGTTGGGGACCGGTGAGAATAGGAACAGACACTGGTGATTTCTCACCTGTAGCATTTGAAGAAGTGTGAATTTAGGGCCTCGCCTACATTAGCACCAAGACCGTGCCGTGTGTTTGGGAATTCACATTTAGTTGTGGTTTTTTTTTCTTCCATCTGTGACAGTTTTCAAATATAACAAAGAGCATTCTTCCTCTTAGAGGACGAGGCTGTAGCCATACCAGAAGGTGAGTGCATAGCACAGGTTGATGATGAACCACATGCATCCTTGGAAAAAGCCCAGAATCATGCCTTTCCAGACGCCCCACTGTTGTGCCATCACCAGATTATTGTCGTTCCTGCACGTCAATTAACTCAAAATTAGTATTGACACAACAATCGCAAAATCTTAAAAGTTTTCCATTGCAAAACAAACGGAGGCAGTGCATATTCTCACTAGACGTATAGGTCATAATTGGTTTTTGGCGTCAGCTACGACAATGTTTAATATTATTTTGTCTAGGAGTGCCACGCATTGACTTAAACCGCACTAACGATTCGCGCGGTTTGTTGCGTACGGTGCGAAAGAAGTTCAACACACATGCTTGATGCCCGACTGCCCAAAACGTGATTCAAGTCTAGCTTTTTGATGACGGAGCCTCTTATGTCCGTCATGCTGACCACAACATCATACAACTTTGAACGCAGCACGTAACCGTGCTTACAAAAAAACATCAAACACGTTTCTAATCACTGCTGGATGAAGGCCTTCGTGCCAAGGGGCTTCACCTTTTCTTACGATCTTGCAATGCAACGTGGAACGTTTGATTAACTGCACACTCCATCTCCACGGTTGATTTTAATCTTCGACATGTACCCATGTTTCAAGGGGGGTGAAAATATTTGAAAGTTGCCACGAGAAACAAAAACGCAAAAACGTGCAAGTTAGTTCTCTTATATATATTTTTACACGTGACATAACAGTTGGTGGATACACACAGAATATGGTTTGGTTGAAAAGTATCGGGGCGTTGTAAACTCACGTAAACAAAATGTTTGCACATATTTTATATCGCTGTACTGTAATTCCGGTATATGCACTGTGTGCAATTTCCATCACACCTTAACGTGTGTGCCACAGGGCTTGGCACACTGCAGTAGAGCATTGAGTTTAACTGCGTTACATAATGCCAATTTAATTATCTGCAAATACAATACACATCTTGGGGGTTGGGGGGGGGTTATATGGAGCAGTATTATTGTGTTTACGTACTGTATTGCCAATAGCGAGTCAAGAAACATGTGCATTTATTTACGTTCTTGCTCACACTACAGGGTTTAACGCACACTCTTCAAAGTGGGCTTAAGATATTTTGTGCCACAGCACTTATTCCGTGGATGGTTTTCGGCACAAGGTAACACAGGTGTACACTGTTGTAAGTCCATGAATACTTTTGCATTGCAGTACATGAGTTATATTTTTTACGGCTCTCATCATCATCATGCATATTAATCATAAACTATTCCCTGTAGGGGGCAATGGCTTTCCCATGCTGTCACAAAGCCCCTCGAAGTCCCGCGATTTCATCCTCCGCATGAACTGATAATCTAATCGCTCCATCTCTACGGCAGTAGGGCCCCCCTCTTTTTGGTGTCTTCCTTCGTGATGCCACCCAGTTGCTGCTGTGAGCAATTTTTGTTGTTGTTTTATCCACCTGCCATCATCCCGGCTCACGAGGTTGTCCTTCCAGAGCCTTTTCGCTCACTTTCATTCACGGTCAACAACGTGATCGTCTCTGATTTGTGTTTGTTCCCTTGCCTCTCATTGTCATTCCAAGCGTGCATCTCTCCACGCCTCTTCTTTGTGTACTTTTCTTTGAATGTACTGTAAACTGTACTCTATTATACATCTATATTGCTTCGTTATGTTCGAAGATTAAAAGTACACTTCATTATGCATGCTAGTGTTTTAGTTGCTGCGTAGACAACTGGCACATATTCCTCCTGTATGGGCTTTGTATGTACGCGTGCTTTGGATTTCTTTCGCACCGTACGTAGCCGACCGACCGTTATCAGCCGTCGTCATTCCACTGCTGGATGAAGGCCTCAAACAAGCCATCGCCATCCATTCCACACAATTATTTGATACGACGTATTATAAGGCACCGACACACGACCCCGATGATCATCGCTCCAGTCTCCTCGGCGGATGAGTTCCATTCTCCTCGGCGGATGAGTTCCATTCTCCTCGGCGGATGAGTTCCATTCCTGTCACTCACTGTCACTCATTCCTTGGCCATCATCCCCTTCGAGCGACGTAACCCAGCCGAGGCCCACTTAATTCTTGTATTAACAGTATGAATGATAACTTTGCGCATGTTCCCGAATGTGTGCGCTCCCTCCTTTTTGTAACTTGGAGCGATTTTGAGCGTGCGTCTTCCTCGGCTTCTTTCGCACGGTTTAAAATGTTTTTCTCTCTCCGATGTTATTATTGTTGTTACTTGACCATGTTTCTCAACCGTATGCCCATCATCACAGGTAGTACAGAATTAATAAATAAACCCCAAAAAGTTTCCATTAAGTTAATTTCGGTGAAGTTTTTGCAATGGCAGTTAGTGTTCTGCTGTTTTTTTATTTGCAGTCATTACATACCTGTAAACCCCTTATCAGTGCCTACCTCATTACAGACCAATTCAGACCTTCTTGGTCACAACGTGCCCTAATACATTTCAACGTTCGTCCTGCAAAGTCCCATCACAAGGGAGAAACACAAACAAATCGACAAGAAATATGCATTTGCTCGTATTGAAACGTCTGTACGCCGTATGGACCTGAAAACTCAATTTCCCTGGTACAAGAATACTGGGGAAACCGTGTGGGTTGACACGGTATGTGACATTGTTATGTTTGGCCCAAGCGTTTCACTGCTGTGGGTAATGAGCTTCTGCTGCCCATTAACAAAGGACGCATGGGTGGCAATGGTTTACAGTGGGTGTGTGCACGTG